CTGGAAGAAAAGGACAAATTCTCAGAAAAGCACAACCTTCTGAGCCTGAACCAGGAAGAAATAGAAAATATAAACAGACCAATCACAAGCACTGAAATTGAAATTTGTGATTAAAAATCTTCCAACAAACAAAAGCCCAGGACCTGATGGCTTCACAGGTGAATTCTATCAAACATTTAGAGAAAAGTTAACACCTGTCCTTCTCAAACTCTTCCAAAATATAGCAGAGGGAGGCACACTCCCAAACTCATTCTATGAGGCCACCATCACCCTGATACCAACACCAGATAAAGATGTCACAAAAAAAGAAATCTAGAGGCCAGTATCACTGATGAACATAGATGCAAAAATCCTCAACAAAATACTAGCAAACAGAATCCAGCAGCACATTAAAAGGATCATACACGATGATCAAGTGGGGTTTATCCTAGGAATGCAAGGATTCTTCAGTATACGCAAATCAATCAATGTGATACACCATATTAAAAATTGAAGGATAAAAACCATATGATCATCTCAATAGATGCAGAAAAAGCTTTCTACAAAATTCAACACCCATTTATGATAAAAACTCTCCAGAAAGTGGGCATAGAGGGAACTTACCTCAACATAATAAAGGCCATATATGACAAACCCACAGCCAACATCGTTCTCAATGGTGAGAAACTGAAACCATTTCCTCTAAGATCAGGAACAAGACAAGGTTGCCCACTCTCACCACTGTTCTCCAACATAGTTGTGGAAGTTTTAGCCACAGCAGTCAGAGAAGAAAAAGAAATGAAAGGAATCCAAATTGGAAAAGAAGTAAAGTGTTCACTGTTTGCAGATGGCATGATACTATACATAGAAAACCCTAAAGATGCTACCAGAAAACTAGTAGAGCTAATCAATGAATTTGGTAGCGTAGCAGGATACAAAATTAATGCACAGAAATCTCTTGCATTCCTATACACTAATGATGAAACATCTGAAAGGGAAACTAAGGAAACACTCCTGTTCACCACTGCAACAAAAAGAATAGAATACCTAGGAATAAATACCTACCTACCTACCTACCTAAGGAAAGAAAAGACCTGTGTGCATAAAACTATAAGACACTGATGAAAGAAATTAAAGATGATACAAACAGATGGAGAGATATACCATGTTCTTGGATTGGAAAAATCAACATTGTGAAAATGACTATATTACCCAAAGCAATCTACAGATTCAGTGCAATCCCTATCAAACTACCAATGGCATTTTTCACAGAACTAGAACAAAAAAGTTCACAATTTGTATTGAAACACAAAAGACCTTGAATAGCCAAAGCAATCTTGAGAAAGAAAAACAGAGCTGGAGGAATCAGGCTCCCTGACTTCAGACTATACTACAAAGCTACAGTAATCAAGACAGTATGGTACTGGCACAAAAGCAGAAATATAGATCAATGGGACAGGATAGAAAGCCCAGAGATAAACCCACACACATATGGTCATCTTATCTTTGATAAAGGAGACAAGAGTATACAATGGAGAAAAGACACCCTCTTCAGTAAGTGGTGCTGGGAAAATTGGACAGCTACATGTAAAAGGATGAAATTAGAACACTTGCTAACACCATACATTAAAATAAACTCAAAATGGACTAAAGATCTAAATGTAAGGCCAGACACTATAAAACTCTTACAGGAAAACATAGGCAGAACACTCTGTGACATAAATCACAGAGTGCCCCGGTCTGGGAAGATCCCACATACTGTGGAGCGGCTGGGCCCGTGAGCCATGGCCGCTGAGCCTGCACGTCTGGAGGCTGTGTTCCGCAACGGGAGAGGCCACAACAGTAAGAGGCCCGTGAACCACCCCCTCCCAAAAAAGAAAACTGGCTACACAATAGTTAGGGGACTCCACAAAAGAATCGCCAAGCCCTTAATCAGGGGCGCGGCACCCAAGAGCTTTTTACACCCAGACAGGCCTGAAAAAAAGGGGATAAAGTTTCATTCTTCTCACTCCATCAACCTATGCATCTTGAGTGCTGTGCTTGACTGTCCCCGGCGCTGTCCCCAGGCCAGGTTTCTGCCACGAACCTTGTCCCTGTGCCATTAATAATCACCGAGGTCGCCCGCACGGCAAGGGCACGCTCACTGCCTTCCCTGGCTCCCTGGGGCCCACATCCCAGCTACTCTTTGTTTCCTGTTTGGAGAACTGGAGGGGCAGGACCTCATTTCTCATTCTCCCTGGATGAGCCCCAATGTCTCCAGGGCAGAGATCCGCAGACTGTGGCCTGCCTCTGCCTGTTTGTATGAATAATGGTTTATTGGCATGCAAAAAAAAAGAAAAAAAGAAAAAAGCACTGAGAAGGAACAGTGGGAGAATGAATCACCTATGTCTGTGTTTTCTATTTATTTATTTATTTATTTATTTATTTATTTATTTATTTATTTATTTATTTATATTTTGGCTGCGCCGGGTCTTAGTTGCAGAACATGGGATCTTTGTTGCAGCATGCAGGATCTTTAGTTGTGGCATGCGGACTTCTTAGTTGTGACATGTGAATTCTTAGTTGTGGCATGTGAATTCTTAGTTGCGGTTGTGCACTCTTTGTTGCGGCATGCATGCAGGATCTAATTTCCCAACCAGGGATCAACCCCAGGCCCCCTGCATTAGGACAGTGGAGTCTTACCCAATGGACCAACAGGGAAGTCACTGTAACTGATCAATTTTATGTATTTCTTCCATTGATGGTTCCGGGGAGGCCTCCTTGAGTTCTTGGCCAGTATTTCTATAATGGTTCTCAATTCTTTTCTTGGTGGTGTATTCCCTCCTGGGTGTTAAGAGCCATTGATCCTTTGTAATGAAATTCTTCACGGTATGGGAGGCCTTGGTTAAAGCTGGGTGGAAAACCCCAGAAGGATCTGGAAAGCTCAGTCCCTGGTCACCTCAACTGCGCAGTTCCCCTTCTCGATGAATGTTTCATACTGTTACATTAAAGTTTAATGTCTCTCTCACACCTTTCACCGACCTTTAACGCATGGATGATTTTGTAACCTTATGCATTTGTCATTTGGAAAATAGTTCGCTGAACTCTGTGGATCTTCCAAATGTTGGCACACTTCGTTACACAATATCAAAAAATCACATTTGCTAATATTGCCACCAATCTCATCAGAATTCTTTGTGTTTTGGGAAGCTGTCAAACTAACAGTGGTGGATACAGATTTTCCAAAATTCTGATTTTTACCTGAAAGTTTGAATTTTACTGCCAGTTATTTTCCTGGAAGTTGCAGAATTACTTGGCTCATTTTCAAAAAAAGAAAAAAAAAGTCTGCCAAATTTTCAAGTCTAGAAAACCATAGTTTATCTTCCAGTTGTTCTTTCAAGGAATGATGAGGTTTCATTTTAAAAAAGCGGCTAGCTCAGCATGCAATTCAAATCATCACATGTGCTTTTCCTCAAGACAACCATTGTATTTCTGGATGCAGCAGAGGTACTTAATGTGTATTTCCCTTTTTGTCACACAGAATGTTAAGAAAAAAGTGTACTCAAAGGGTGAAATTTAACATAAAAGTTGATCAGTTTTATTGCTCCATTAAAGACTGCTTAAATGAAACTGGCTTTTTTTTTTTTTTCCTGAAGGTGTGTGGTGGTGGAGAATGCAGTAACTACTATACAGTTGGTACCACTCCCTTTTTTTTTTTTTTTTTTTTTGCGGTACACGGGCCTCTCACTGTTGTGGCCTCTCCCGTTGCGGAGCACAGGCTCTGGACGCGCAGGCTCAGCGGCCAGGGCTCACGGGCCCAGCCGCTCCGCGGCATGTGGAATCTTCCCGGACCTGGGCACGAACCCGTGTCCCCTGCATCGGCAGGCGGACTCTCAACCACTGCGCCACCAGGGAAGCCCGGTACCACTCCCTTGATTCATGCTAAGGCACTTGCAGTTTAACCCACCATTGTTTTTGTACCATCAGTGCACATATGAGCACACTGAAAAAGTCAAATAATACCTTAGTATTATGAATACAATGTTTTTGACCTCTTGGACCCTCTGAGATATTTTTCAGAGACCACACTTTGAGAACTGATGATCTAGAATGTGAGCTCTATGAAAGCATTGAGTTTATTTTGTTCACTGTTGTATTTTAAATATTTATTTATTTATTTATTTTTGGCTGCGTTGGGTCTTTGTTGCTGTGCGCAGTCTTTCTCTAATTGAGGTGAGCGGGGGCTACTCTTGTGTGCACAGGCTTCTCATTGCGATGGTTTCTCTTGTTGCAGAGCACAGGCTCTAGGTGCACGGGCTTCAGCAGTTGTGGCTCATGGGCTCTAGAGTGCAGGCTCAGTAGTTGTGGCACACGGGCTTAGCTGCTCTATGACATGTGGGATCTTCCCGGACCAGGGCTTGAACCCATGTCCTCTGAATTGGCAAGCGGATTCTTAACCACTGTGCCACCAGGGAAGTCCCACTGTTATATTTTCAACACTGCTGTATCTAGAACAGTGCCTGACACACAGTAGATGATTAGTAAATATTTCCTAAATGTATTAATGAAGCAAGGACAGATGGGAGATTAATCCCCTGTGGAGAACAGAATAACTTAAAATGTATATATTTTTTTACTACATATAGCTCAATAATCAACCAACACTTGCCACAAAATGGTATGAAAATCTAGTTTCATTATTGCCATTTCCTCTGCTGAAGACTCTACTGACTTTTAAATTATGAGCAAAAAAGACTAAAGGACCTTTGTGAAGGAAGAAATGTAAAGCGTGCCCAAACCACAGAACAAATGCATTTTTTTCGTTGAAGCACAGAACTGAGATGTCGTTAGATCATCTAGCCCAATACCTTCATTTTTACAAATGAGAAAACCAAGCTGCCTGTGGGGTTAAATGATGGACCCTAAGTCATAGTTAGTGACAGGGCTAAAATATAGGCTCTTTCACATTTTCTCTTGCACATAGCAATGATGGGAATGGGAATGAGAAGCAAGAGATGAACTTTGGTGTATTTTTTATGTAGGAGACTGGCCAAGCAAGCTCAGAGGCAAAAACTCAAACCACTCCATGGATGGAAGAGGAAAGTGAAGTTAAAAGATGGAACACCTAAAGGTACCTCTCGGTCCAGCACCTTGTTCCTCCCGCAAACAGCTCAGGCTGGAGAGGTGCAAAGACTGCATGGGGAGACAAGCTAGTCCCTTGGAACTGTGGAGAGGAAAAGAGTCAGCTTCTCAGAGGTAAGAAAGGAGGACCCTGGAGCTGTACCGTTTAGTAACACAGATGGGGCCAAAGATTGGAAAAGCCCCCAAAGAGAAGAACATCTTTGGTATTTTTCAGCAGGGAGCTATTGGCATTTTGTATGGCATTGTCCTGCAACTGCATATTTACCATCCTTACTCTCGCCCACCAAATGCCAGTAAATCCCTAAGTCACTGTGACCACTAAAAATGTCCTGCACGTTTCCAAATGCCCACTAGGGGGCTCGCATCACCCCTGATTACCATTTCCCCCTTCACCCACTGAATCAATAGCAGTCATCGCTCTAGGATGAGGGTGAACATAGCCAAGAACGAAGAGGACAACTAAGTTTCTGAATGGAATTTTAAAATCAAAGCTGAAACAGTGGACTTCCCTGGTGGCGCAGTGGTTAAGAATCCGCCAGCCAATGCAGGGGACATGTGTTCCAGCCCTGGTCCGGGAAGATCCCACAGGCCACAGAGCAACTAAGCCTGTGCACCACAACTACTGAGCCTGCGCTCTAGAGCCCACGAGCCACAACTACTGAGCCCACACGCCACAACTACTGAAGCCCACGCACCTCGAGCCCGTGCTCCACAACAAGAGAAGCCACCGCAGTGAAGCCCAAGCACTGCCATGAAGAGTAGCCCCCCTTCGCTGCAACTAGAGAAAGCCCGCACACAGCAACGAGGACCCAACACAGCCAAAAATAAATAAATATAAATTAATTAATTAATTTTAAAAAAAGCTGAAACAGTAGGCTTTTTATTATAGGGCTGGTTTCTTGAAAGTGGAAACATTTTTTGAGTTCTAAATGAATAAGCGCTTGGAGGACTCAGGACGTTTACATCATAAACCAAAGAGTTAGGAGGTATGAAGTTGTCTACAGAAAGGAAAAAAGAGGAAGAAAATCTAAGGGCATATGACAGAATTTAGATGCTTAAGAAAGGATCGTACCCTCTGTCCACTCTCCTCAGTCAGCTGAGAGGACAAGAAATTCCCTGCGGGAAGACAGGAAGGACTTGAGGGCAGAGAGGATCCTCACCTCGCTTCCAGCAGGCCTCACTAGGCGACTGAGACATTGCTTCCCACCCTCTAGGTTAGTGAGCATCCAGCACTTTCCTGAGCACCCCCAGCCCCCAAAGCACACAGGAGTGGCTGAGAGACGGATGGCAGAACAGGAGGGGCCTAGTGTTCAGGACAAAGCTGGCAGAGGTAGGTGCAGACATGGGGCAGCAAGGGAAAGAAGCTGACAACCAGACTAGGGAATTGCCCAGCTCAGCGGATCCTGGGCCAGGGGCCTTTGAGGTCAGTACAACAGAAAAGAGAAGGAAAATGGAGAGGGGGAAAACCCCTGTACTGACTGAGTTTAAATCTGTAAATTGCAAAGTTTACAGAAAAGGTTAAGTCTTAGGCTCTTGAGTGGAAAGGGGACTCAGCAACTAAGTATAGTAATAGGGACATAAAGAGCCCAAGAAATTCATGTTTAATACATTAATGAATATTTACCCTTCTTTAGTGAAGCCCTTTTAATTTGCAGGATGTATCTAGGTGCCAAAAAACAGCGATTCAGCTTGTTTGGAGTGAATTATCTGTGTGGCTTTGATGACTGTATATTGGCAAACAAGTGCTCCTTTTACCTCTCTGTGATTGTAGATATCACTGAAGTAGCCCCTACCTATATAGAGGCTGCAGATCTGTTAATTCTGCCATTATCAAAGGATGAGATACTTGAGCTGGAATATGTCCATTTTTTAATCAATGAAATATTTACTCCCTATTTTGTGCAAAGTGTAATTTTAAAATTGTCGCTAAGAAAACAAGCACCTAGACCTTAGGATGGTTTTCTTGAAACATCCGCCAAAGAATTACAATCCTTAAACTGAGAACCATAGTGTAAATTGAGAGAGAGAAATTCTACTTTAGATTTGACTAAATATCTAGGAGCAAATGATTTTCTCTTTGTTCACACTCTTTTTTTTTTTAAATGCTATAGTGTCTGAGTTTCACCCCATCAGCACCACATTTTGTTTTTGTTTTTAATTAATTAATTTATTTGGCCATGTTGGGTCTTAGTTGCCGCAGGCAGGATCTACATGGTGGCTTCTCTCCAGTCGTGGCACGCAGGCTCTAGAGCACGCAGGCTTAGTTGCCCCGTGGCATGTGGGATCTGATTTTCCAGACCAGGGGTCAAACCCACATCCCCTGCATTGGAAGGCAGATTTTTAACCACTGGACCGCCAGGGAAGTTCCGAGGCTTTTTGTTGATGTCATTAACATTCAGATTTTTTAATTTGCTAGACGTATGCGGTGTACAGACTCAGCTCGCCTATGGAGATGACCAAAATGGGCACTCCTAGCCTACTTACACCCAATCCAAGTAAGCCTAGAGCTGATTTCCTTGTTTTGATACTGGTAAGAAGCTCCTGTTTTACATTAGTAATTTCTCCCTCTCTCTCTCCCTAGAAAACAAAGGAATTTTAGTTTGTTCACAAAGAATGCCAAAATAGTCTGAAAAAGAAAGAAAGCCTTAAGCTCATAAGCACATAATCAGATCTTCCTGCCTTTCATGGGGACTGTTGTTTGGTAAATTCTGCTTTATGTTCTAGAAGAACTAAGTGGTGGTGTTCTCACACAATTCTAGTTTTGCAACAAAGTCCGATAAAATGTCATGTTCTCCGTATTCAATATGTGGCTTTTTAAGGGCAGTCTCCTTGCCTTATGTCAAAACCAACTGATGAAACCAAGGAATGTGCTGAAGCCAGCCTATTTTATTGCATACCTGACACCTTTTGTGGTTGACTTTATTACTTGATTCATGAAAAAAATCTGCAAGCTTGGCTTTCAGGTCATTTCTGATAGTCTTGTGGTTTCTTCTGTTGTTACTTACAAGCTTCGTATTTTGCTTTTCAGTAGTTTGTTTTACTTTTCAGTGAAAATGAGTTGGTAGCTTGAATGGCACCTATGCTTCAGTTATGCAAAGAATAAAGAGAGATGACTTCTTAGACTTCTTAATCGTATTAATGTGTTCTCGAGGAAGATGGCTGAGGCTGAATGGAACAGAAAGTCAGTTGTGAATGTAGAGTTTCTTTTTTTCTTTTGATCACTTCATTCCGTAAGTAACAAGAAACCCATGAAACATAAAATTCTAAAAACTAACTTTTAAGCTCAATGTTTAAAAACCAACTTGTAAATTAGAAACTGGATATTAGTCACCAAGCATGCCAAGCAACTTATTTCTTGCACTCGTAACTCCTTTTTTGAAACAGGTTAAAAACTGATAAGAAGCTTGGGAAACTCTTATCAGTCATTGCAAAAAATAGCTTAACCCATCCTAATGTGGCAAGATTTAAAAGGCCTAAATTCCTTAAAGTTTTAGGGGATTTATTTATTTTTTCTATTCGCTGTGTGCATTTGTGTTACAGTAAATTCAGATTTAAATATCTTCCTATTCATGTGATTTACTCTATGAGGGCATTTCCAGCCTATAAAATAGATCGTTGCTTAAACTGATGCTGTAAAACACTGCAGGAAGTACAGGTTAGACTTTGCACATTTGCTCTGAGTTTGTGAATTCCAAGCAGGTCTGCTAATGGGAAGGAGCGGCTCTTCCATGGCTGTGTAGCTCTAGATCACGGCCACCTGGGTCTGTTTCCTAGGGACGACTGCCACTGATATTTTGGTGCATATTCTTCCTGTCTTTTCCTCTCTTCATATACTTTTCTTTTTTTTTTTTCTCGTTACACGGGCCTCTCACTGTTGTGGCCTCTCCTGTCGCGGAGCACAGGCTCCGGACGCGCAGGCTCAGCGGGCATGGCTCACGGGCCCAGATGCTCCGCGGCACGTGGGATCCTCCCGGACCAGGGCACGAACCCATGTCCCCTAAATTGGCAGGCGGACTCTCAACCACTGTGCCACCATATACATTTTTTAATTTGCAAAATTAATCCCATAGTATACTTGCTAGTTTATAATCTTTTTTCATTAACAGTCTTATTAATTAAAAAAAATGGATAACCATGTCAGATAATCCATCATTTGCTATAATGTAATTTATTAAACTACAGTTGACCCTTGATAACGCAGATTTGAACTGTGCAGGTCCACTTATATGCAGAATTTTTTCAAACAGGAAATACTACAGTACAACCTGATCCGCTGTTTGTTGAATCCAAGGATGCAGAACCGTGGCTGTGGAGGAAATAACGGATGTGGAGGAACCACTCCTGAGGAGAGTTGACAATATGTTATACTCAAATCTTCTACTGCGAGGAGGGTCAGCGACCCGAACCCCCTTAGTTATTCAAGGTCAACTCTTCTCTCCTATTGTTATACACTTAGATTATTTCCAATTTTTACCTATTGTAAATATTGTTGTGACTAGCATCCTTGAACTTAAATCTTTGGGCATATCCTAATTATTTACTATAGATAAATTCCTAAAAGTAATATTATTGGGTCAAAAGACAAATATTTTTAAATAGTCACATGTGCTATTACCACCCTAAGATAACCACTGCCAACAATTTGATGCATATCTTTAGTCTTTTAAAAAATGAATATGTATGTGCATGAATATACATTTTTTTGGCGGGGGGAAGTTGTTACTGTGTTATGTATAGGAGGGGATGTACTGAAGAATTGTAAGCAGAGGAATGATATGATCTGTTTTTGTTTGTTTGTTTGTTTTGTCCTGCCACTCAGCTTGCAGGATCTTAGTTTCCCAACCATGGATCGAACCTGGGTCCCGGCAGTGAAGGTGCCAAGTCCTAATCACTGGACCACCAGGGAATTCCTGATTTTCATTTTAGAAGGATCACCCTGGCTGCCCCGTTAAAGATAGACTGCAGTGAACAAGAGCAGAGGCAGAGCCCAGGGCGGAGTCGACAGGTCCGAGCGGCTTGCAGCAGAGGGCAGCATGGAGGGAGTGAATGGAGGTCAGATTCTGGATATCTTTTTTGCAGGAAGTCAGACTGGATGTGCAGTACGAAAGAAAGAAAGCAGTGCAGATTAACTCCAAGTTCTGGAGGCCTGAGCAATTGGAAGGATGACACTGACGTCAAGTGACAGGGGAAAAAGGCTGTAGGTGGAGCAGGCTTGGCGAGAGGGAAGAACAGGAATTTCATTTGGAGAGAGTGTTTGAGGTGTCTAGTAGGTATCCAAGTGGAGAGGTCCAGTGGGCTGCTGAATACGACTTTCGAGTTCTGGGGTGAGTAGCTGTTGGAAATATACACTTGGGAATCATTGGCATATAGATGATATTAAAAGCCAGGAGACTGGGTGAGGTTACCAAGGGAGTGAGTACAGACCAAGAGAAGAGGAACTAGACTAGAGAGGGGGAGTAGGGCAACATGAAAGCACTTACTCTGCACCAGGCACTGTTCTGTGTGCTTTGCATAGATTATAGGGTGACTCGTTTATCTCCAAATAAACTCAGTGAGAGGGGACGATTATTATCCCCATTTTACAGAGAAGGAATCTGAGGCATAGAAAGATTGTCAGTAAAACAATAACTACTTCCTATTATGAACTGATGAAATAAGTTTTAACTCCCTTTTTCAATAATGCAAACTTGTTTTGAAATAAATCATGTGAACTTTTTCTGCACAGACTTTACCCATCATGTCTCAAAAATCTTCGCAATTATACATTTTAGTTATACTTTAAAGAATCAGCATGACTAATCTGTTCAAAGGTGCTTTTCTTTTCAGCTGACAACACATTCTAGGGTGGAATATTGAGGAGAGACCAATAAAAAAAAAGCTTATGTTCAAAAAGGAGAAAAGGAGAGCCATATTTAGTGTTCGATATTTCTTAAGGACATTTTTCTTGCTTGCATGTGTCTCTTCCTCAATAATCATGCATTTTCTAATTATATTTGAAGATGGGAGAGGCAAGTTAATAAAGGGAAATTGTCATCATTCCTACCACCTCACCCTATAACATAATCAGAATATCTCAACGGGACAGTTTCTAAGGCCATAGTAACTCTTAACAGAAATGTACAAAAGACAGGGAAAGACAAAAAGCACTATGGTGGGTTAATCATTACAGAAGGCTTCGAGAAAAAAATCTTTGAAATTGTCCCCTTGGTACCCTGGAGATTCTTACATCTTGGGACAAGGATGCAGATGAATGAGCTCGCAGTGTGCTTTTCCACCTTCTCCTCTTCTCTGGGAAAAGGGTTATTGTGAAAGGGGAGGTGGGTAGGAGAACTTGCAAAATAGCTTTTCAGACAGATCAATTTTAGGAAGAAGAACAAATGGAAATTGGGGATCTGGAAATAAAATTTTCCCTGCCAACAGTGCTTCTTGGAAAATTTCGACATACTTTTGGGGGTTCCTGTAAGTCAAATTGAAGATGATTGTCTTAATTCCAATAGGGAAGAAATAAAGAACGATATCTTAAAAAACCAGAAGCAGCTGCAGAGGCATTCCTCTACTGAGCTCAAAATATGAGCTAATGGATAATGTTTATATTTACCTAAATACCAGAGAGCAGCACATTATTTACGCATGACCCTTAAGTAACAATATCAGGAAAAGCAGATGCAGAATGAGCTTAGAGATGTGAGAAATAGTAGAAAACCAAAAAGGGTCCTTTTAAGGTCATGTTCATAGCAAGAACAAAAACACAAAGACTCTGGGGAAAGATGATGTAATGTTAAAAAGATAACAGAGAAAGCAGAACTAACCAAAGTCTCTTTTTCTCCATTCTTCTCTCAATAATTACCTTCAGATGGAAAGGGGAAATGAGTTATGGTACGACAGAACCTAAATTCAAGAAAGGTAAGAAATAGGAGGAGATATTTTTTAAAGTTAGTTATTTTAATGAGCTTATTTTTATGCCCAGATACATTGTATCCTGAGATATTTAGAGAACTTGTAATTGTAATCATGCAACCATGGTTAACAATCTTAGAAAATAATTTTATGAACAGAAAGTCAACTGCATTCATTAAGTCAAAACTGTCAAACTAACCTTACATCTAGGAACTTACTACTCAACTTACGAACGAAGGTTTATATATTTTTTTTTCATTTAATATTATATTGGAGCAGTTCAACAGTATTCCTCATTAAACATTCTACTGTACTATAATTCTAAATAGCTAAATAATGCTCAATTATATGAATATACCCTAAATTACATAACCAATCCCCCATGGTCCACTGTTTCACATTTTTAGCTTTTAAAAACCATGCTGGGGTTATGATAATTTTACAGAAAATTTTGTAAATTATTTTTTAAATTTTAGGTCGGATACCCAGAAAAGGAATAAATGAATCAAAGGGCTTCATATTTCAAAGGCCTTTTTTAGTACCAAAATTGCCTCCAGAAAGAAGTACGTATTTATATTCTCAATAACAACATATGAATGCCTATTTTTCCAACCCTTATCATTATTGGAAGATTTTGATAGAAAAAAAGTTTTTGGTGATTTTTTAAAGATTTTTTTGATGTGGACCAATTTAAGATCTTTGTTGAATTTGTTACAGTATTGCTTCTGTATCATGTTTTGGTTTTTTGGCCACGAGGCATGTGGGATCTTAGCTCCCCGACCAGGGATTGAACCCTCACCCCCTGCATTGGAAGGTGAAGTCTTAACCACTGGGCCACCAGGGAAGTCCCTGGGGATTTTTTAATTGTGGCAAAATATACATAATATATAAAATTTACCACTTTCACCATTTTTAAGTGTACAGTTCAAGTAGCATTGAGTACATTCACAATGTTGTATAACCATCATAACTATCTATTTCCAGAATTTTGTCATCATACCAAACAGAATCTTTGTACCCATTAAACAAAGAAAAACTTTAAAATAATTTTAAAAAATATTGCCCTTCTTTTGCTATATGTTATTCAATCCCATTAGCGATACTCTTCCCCCTTCCTAAGATCTTGGAATTCTTCTGTGTTAGTCAGAATAGGACAAGCTATACTGTGGTAACAATCAACTCCAAAATCTTGTGGCGTACCCAACAAGGCTTTATTTCTCACTCAAGTTACATAATCTATGCCAGTCAGTGAGTATATCTGCTTCTCAGTCTCTCAGAAGTTCAGGCTAATAGAGGCCCGATCATTTCATTGCTTCGTCTTTTGGAACACGAGGACTTCGTGGTTACTAAGCCAGGGCAAGAAAGTGCAGTAGAGCCTTGTACCAGCAATTAAATGCCTCAGGCTGGAGACAACACATGTCTTGACTTGTTTCTCCAGTGTGTGCCATGGGCTACTAGGTTCCCCTCTCAGAATATAAAAGGGTATGTAACTGTTTTCTCTTCTAGCTCAGCCACATAACCAATTCCAAGTGCCCTACAATTTCCCTGAAGGTCCATTGCCTTCTAGTACCAATCTAGGTATCTACTGCTTCTTGGATTGCAAGGAAAAACAAAAAGATTCTGGCAACTTAAGCCAAAAGGCATTTCATTGGAAGAATGTGGGGTGCTAAAGGAAGCCTGAAGAACCAGCCTGGGAACTAGAAGCTGGGTAGCCTTCCAGGCAGCAGGTCTCTTTTGACACTCTTGGCTGGACAGATGAACTGTTTCTCCTGTCAGTGCTTTACCGGGCGCAGGAGTCAAAGTCCAGTTGGCTGAGGGTAGGTCACGTGCTCAGCCTTTGGCAGCGGCAGGCCTGAGAGGAGGGATTAACAGAAGGAACCTCCAGGGATCTCTGGATTCCCTAGTGTGAGGCAGGCACACGCATTTTACCGAGACTCCATGCTTTGCGGGAAAATGATTACTCAGGTGGAAATCAGTGTGCTCTGGGGAAGTGGGAGTGAAGGTAAAATGCCAGTGTCCACCACTGAGAGCTAAAGCACGATCATATTAATGGCATCAAAGCCCATGAACCCCTGAGTCTGTTGAGTTGATATGTGCTGATTTGTTTTGCTATTTTCAATTATTAGATTGGTTCTTTTTTTTCCCCTCTGTAACGAATAGCCCGAGGCATATACATCTAAAAAAATTAGCTTCTGAGGACAAATTGCCAGGTCTGGAATTATTGCATCAAAAGATATGAGTATTTATACGTGTTCATTTTTTATTTTACTGAAGTGACCGTGGACTCTGAGAATATGTCCCTAGCCATGGCAGATGGGCTTTCTAGTGACAGGATAATTGCCTGGTTGAAGGTCATCCTACGGAAACCTCTCTCTGGGTCATGCCAGGGGCATCTGGGCTACTGGGAAAAACATACTCTTTAGAGCTCTTCTCTTTCCTTCAACATTTGTTTTATCTCCATTGCTATCTGGATAAAATAAACTGCAGCGTCACTGCTTAGGTCAGTCGATCCACATGTTATAGGAAAGAGGGTAGCATTTGCCTGAGGGACCCATAGGCACTGGGCGTGCCTGCTGATATACATCAGCAAATATAAGATGGGGCACCCAGCTCCCTTTTCTCCACGCCAGGTCTCTCCAAAAGCTGAGGGCAGGGGAAGCAGTGATTGCACGAGGACAGGGCACACCACCTGGGGAGGGTACCGCTTGTGTGCCTTGACCTACATTTTAAGCCAGGTTCTTCTAACTCCAAACTTGAAAAGGTAAGAGTCCCAGATTTTTCAGAGGATTTTAACTTAAATGAGAGAGAATTGGAAAATCCCTCCCGCTTCCCTGCCCACACACTCATTCCCAATTCCCCCACCCCAGCTTCACTGGAAACATCCCCTTCTCAGCCAGACCACCAGGGTGGCTAGACCAACGGCAGTGAACTTTGTTTTGTAATTATCCCTGTGTCAGCTTATTCCCCATGGCTGGAGCATATTAGATGGTAAACGCCTTGAGATTAGGGACTGTCTGACCTTAGTACTCCCTGCAGGACTCTCCACAGTAGCTTGCCCACTCCAGGTATGCAATCAGTATTTGCTGACTGAATATCCTTAGGAAAGTAGAGTAGTTCTAGAACTTCCTTGGGGTTCCAAACTCTTCCAAGTTATGATGTCTAGGAGTGTTGGGAAAGGGAGCTCTCCCTAGAAGCAATCAGGGAACCCTGGAGGGGTTCTGAAACCCACGCTTAGTGTTCTTTTTTTTTTTTTCTTTGTTTTTTTAGTTTTGGCCACACAGTGTGGCTTGCAGGATCTTAGTTCCCCAACCAGGGATGGAACCCACGCCCCCTGCATTGGAAGCGTAGAGTCTTAACCACTGGACCATCAGGGAAGTCCCTCACACTTAGTGTTCTTCAGCAAAGAAATGAGTCTTGTGCAGAAGCGGGTGGGATGGGCCCTCACTCCGTCTTCGGGGGCTGTATCTCAGCCTGTGGTGCTCCAGCCACAGAGCCTTTTTCAGTTTCCTGTTCTAGTTCTTTGACAACACTTTCCCTGGGAACACGTCTTCCCTCTCCACGTCACATCCTTTTCACCTCTACCCATTAACTCCTCATCCCACAGATATCAGCTCAATTGTCAGTTCCTCAGCGACGTCTCAGAATAGGCCAAATTCTCATTCAACACCTGTGCGGCTCTTCCCCAGCACTTATCAGGATTTTCAATTAATATTTACATTTGTGTTTGTAATTATCTGATACATGCTTTCTCTCTGACTGGAGACTCTTGCTTCATGAGGGCATGAATTGTGCTTGTTTTGTTTGCTGTTGTCTTCCTGGTTCTAGCACACCGCCGGGCATGTATATAATGGGAGAACAGTTACTGTTAGAGGCACAAGTAACAATTTCTCTACACCACGTGGGTTTACTCTCTGCAATCCTGGGAGACACAGAGTGTATTAGGGTTCTCTAGAGAAACGTCATCAACTAACAGGAGATAATATATATTTATATCTGTATATCAATAGCTATCTAGATATCATCATATTGATATTGATATATATGAGAGAAAGAGAGAGAGATTGAGATTTACTATAGGAATTGGCTCATGCAATAATTATGGAGGTTAAGAAGTCTCACAATCTGTCATTTGCAGGCTGAAGAACCAGGAAAGCATTGGTGTAAATCCCAATCCAAGTCTGAAGCCAGAGAACAAGTAGCACCAATGTCCAAGGGCAGAGGAAGATGGATGTCCCGGCTTAAGAAGAGACAGAGGGAACTTATCCTTCCTCTGCCTTTCCTATTCAGGCCCTCAGTGGATAGGCTGATGCCCACCTGCATTGGTGAGGGTGATCTTTTTCATTCAGTCTACTGATTCAAATGCTAATCTCTTCTGGAAACACCCTCCTAGACACACCCAGAAATAATGTTTACCAGCTCTCTGGGCACCCCTTAGCCCAATCAAATTGACACACAAGAGTAACCATCACACAGAGATTCTGGCTTGACCCTCAGTAGAGCTTATGCAATGTGGTGCTCTCAGAATAGAATTTCTCAAATTGCATTACCCAGATTACTAGTTCATGAACTCTTAATAGGGTTCTGTGAAGGAAAAAATTTCTTTTAAAAATATAGATGTAATGAAAATGTCAAACACGCTTGGACAGCTATTTATTCTGTGATAATTTATCTTTAAGAAAACATACACTCCAAACTGCTACCATTGGGTATGTATGGGGAGGAGGTTTTTCCGCTCTCCCCTCTTTATATGTTTCTGTTATAATGTATCTAAACCTAATTCTAACTGACTCACAGCCTGAAACAGATCCAAAGATAATGTTCAGTGGAATCCATATTTGACTTTACAGGTAGCAACTTTGTGACTCATCAGGGAAAGACAATATTGTATGTAGTGGAACCTACATAAAGGGAAGGTTTCATCTGAGTTAACATCTAGACTGGAACCTGACCAACTTTTTTTTTTTTTTTTTTTTTATGCGGTACACAGGCCTCTCACTGTTGTGGCCTCTCCCATTGTGGAGCACAGGCTCCGGACGCGCAGGCTCAGCGGCCACGGCTCACGGGCCCAGCCGCTCTGCGGGACATGGGATCTTCCCGGACCAGGGCACGACTTGCGTCCCCTGCATCGGCAGGCGGACCCTCAACCACTGCGCCACCAGGGAAGCCCTGACCAACTTTTATTGATTCAAATCCTTAACTCATCCAGGCACTGATGAGTGCCCACCTGACAAACTGACATGCATACTTGAATATCTCCCTGGCATCTTAAGCCTAATGAGTCTGAAACTGAAACTGATCTTGCCCATCCCAGTCACCACCACCACATGGACTCCTTATCCCCTGTTTTCTTTGCAGTCAGTGTTCAGTAGAGTTCATAGCTGTCTACCTAACTTATCATGCCAGGAGCCTGGGGCCATCTTTGACACCTCCTTCCTCATTTCTATATCCAGGTCTTTGTCAAGTCCCAGAATCTCCCTCTAAAATACATTTGGATCTATTACTCTCTGTCTCCACTGTCACTTGGAGGGTGAAGCTGTACCATTTTTTGCCCAGACAACTCCAAAAGCCTTCCCTCTGGATTCCCATTCCCTATGCAGCACCTGGAGAGAAAACACAAACCAGATCACGATACCACCACACTGAAACCTCTTCAAAGGCTCCCGATAGCATTAGGATACAATCCCAAATCCTACTGTTGACAAAAACAATCAATAAACAATCTACAGTAGGAATAGAAAAGAGTTTCATTTGAGCCAAACTGAGGACTATAGCCCAGAAGACAGTCTCTCAGATAACTCTGAGGAACTGCTCCAGAGAAGCATGGTTTTCAGTGCAGTTTTGTCTTGTCAGAACAAAGAACATCACATAAATCATGGATACATTCCTTCAAGTTAAAAAAAAAAAAAAAAAAACCCAAACAAACCAGATCATCGAGAACACAGTGAGGCAGTGAGTTAGTGTGGCCTTGGCCCCTGGGAAGGGAGTCTTATCATCGAATGAGTTCCAGCACTGGTGTCCCAGAAAGGGAGGCATTGAATCTTTATTTTTAACATGGACATTCTTATCTTCTGGTCAATGCAGCCTTTTCTTTAAAAATTAAAGCAGATGTACAATGTATGTTTGATAAGCTACAAACAGGCTATTTTAGCATAAAATTTGAGTTAACTCATGTATAACCCAGTAAGACTTCCCCATACCTCCATACGTGGAAATTTCTTTCATCACTATATATGGCCTGTGAGGCTCCACCAGATCTGACCCCTGCTGACCCTCCACCACCCAGCATTGTCATAGTTTCTCTCACTCACTAGGCTTGAGCCTCCTGACCTCCTCTTTTAGTCTCTGGAATGTACCAGACTCTTTCCCATCCCAGGGGCTTGCACAGGCTGCTTCCCTGCCTGGATTCCTCTGCTCCCCCCCCCCCATTTAATGGTCACGCCCTACTGATTCTTCCGGTCACTGTTTAATGACACCTTCAATGAGGGCTTCTTTTTTTTAAATATTTATTTATTTATTATTTTTGGCTGTGTTGGGTCTTCGTTTCTGTGCAAGGGCTTCCTCTAGTTGCGGCAAGCGGGGGCCACTCTTCATCGCGGTGCGCGGGCCTCTCACTGTCGCGGCCTCTCTTGTTGCAGAGCACAGGCTCCAGACGCACAGGCTCAGTAGTTGTGGCTCACGGGCCCAGTTGCTCCGCGGCATGTGGGATCTTCCCAGACCAGACTCGAACCCGGGTCCCTTGCATTGGCAGGCAGATTCTCAACCACTGCGCCACCAGGGAAGCCCTAATGAGGCCTTCTTAACCCCACTCCCAATTTATATTCGGACACTTCATACTGAATATTATATGTGGTGTTTTGTGGCTGGCTTCTTTCACTTAGCATAATGTTTTTAAGGTTCATCACGTTGTAGCATGCATCAGTACTTCATTCCTTTTTATTGTAGATGAATTATTCTGTTGTATGGATACACACATTTTGTTTATCCACTCATCAGCTGGTGGACATTTGGGTTGAGCCCACTTTTTGGCTATTACGAACAATGCTACCAAGAACAAGCATTTGTGTGGACATATGTTTTCATTTCTCTTGGGTATATGCCTAGGGAGTGGAGTTGGCGGCTCATATGCTAATTTCATGTTTAACACTTTGGGGAAGTGACAGCGGCCCTTCTTTATGAGGAAAGGTCTAGGATTTTGCCCAGAGGGTCGCATGCCTGTCAGTGTTTGGTTGTTTTGCAAGGCCCTCACTGTTTACACCCTTCCTGTTCCTGAGTGTCTTTCCCCCTTTTATTTGCTTCTTTTATTTTCTGCTCTGTAGACTCCAGCCCCCCAGCTGATTGTAGCCGGAACCAGGCTTTTCAACGGGTAAAAGTTATTTGTAAAACATTTTGAACTCTCTGGAGGATGGCCATTAAAGTAATAATGTTTATCTGTGGGCTAGCCACTCACAGCGCTGTTTTGTAATGAAAATCTTATTGAGTAGGAGGCTTATTTAACTTGTTTCTGAGGGTTACAGCCCTACAACCTGCCATCCAGAGCCTCAATTACCCTACTCCGAGTTTGAACGTTTTAAAGAATCACTTTGAAGTCGCTTGGTGACATTATTAGTGAACCTATATATGTAAACATATGTTGTGAGCCTGTAAAAATGTATGTAGAGTTCCTGGTGTGTGCCTGGCACATAATAATTGCTTAATAAACTGTTAGCTGCTAATTACTAAAAGTTACTCTAATGAACAATCGGGTTCTTTGAGGTAAGGCTTTCAATCATTTAAAATGCCTTAACATTTTGGGGACACATTTGAGTTGTTTCAGGACACATGGAATAGTACCCTTGTTCCATCTGCCCTGACAAATTCTCCTTTGATCCCCGCCTTTGATCCCCGCCTGGCGAAAACCAGAGAACCCTGGCATTCGTTGTCAGGTGGTTATACTTAGCATAATAAAGATCGACTCTACCTACCCAGGCAAATTTAATTTGCTGAATACAACAGAACCCTTCCGTGGTTTAGATACCTTCTCCCCTCCCCCCAAGTCGTTCAGTGTGGATACACAGAAGAGTATGCTGCCCGGCCCATAAGAAAATGCACCCTACCCTTAAAAAGCTTTCAATCTAAAGCGGAGATTTACACGCATTTTACTTTAGATGGGGATCGAGAGTGGGGAAGAAAGAGCCATGAATGCGAGTCCATTCACAGCTCAGGGTCCGTCCCGGTTCCATGAGATAGTTGTCCATCGTTTCCCCTAGCAAGCCAGACCTGAGTTAAGTCGCCCGGCTGCGGGGATTTACAGATGCTCTGAAGACGCCCCTTCCTGGGCCCGGTCAAGTTCCCCGCTTCGGGGAGCCGACAGTGAGTCACCCCGAAGAAGGGCGCTAAGAAAAGGGGAGGCGCCCGCGCCCGGAGGAGAGCCGCGGGGCGAAATTCTAGATCGAGGAAGCCTCGGAAGGAAGAGGAGGGGCCACTTCGCGTGGGAAGAGAAGAGGCGTCTGGGGGGAGGAAGGGAGGGAAGGGAGAGAAGGAAGGAGGAAGGCGGAGGAAAGAGAAGGGCGCGAGCGGCTAGCGCGGGAGGGGGCTGGGCGGGAGGCGCCGGGGCGGGGCGGGCTCGCGCCTCCGGGAGGGCGTGCGGCGCGGGGGCCGGGCGGGGCGGGGCCGCGGCGCCCGAGTTTAGGCGGGGGCTGCCGGGATCGGAGCTCCGCCGGGATCTGAGCGCCGCATTCTCGCTCGCCTCGGCGGCGCTGCTCAGCGCGGCCGGGCTCACCTCCGCAGGGCATGTCTGCGCTGCTCTCGCCGCGCGCCTGGGACTGCTAGCTTCTCCGGCGCTTCCTGCGCGCGGGGCCCCGCACCTGGTACCGAAGCCCGGCTCGCGCTGTGCTCGCGGACCGCCGCCGTCATGGGGCTGCAGCCCCTGGAGTTCAGCGACTGCTACCTCGATAGCCCGTGGTTCCGGGAGAGGATCCGCGCCCACGAAGCGGAGCTGGAGAGGACCAACAAGTTCATCAAAGAGCTCATCAAGGACGGCAAGAACCTCATCGCGGCGACCAAAAGTAAGTGGGGGCGCGGGCGGGCTGCGGCGTGGCGAGGCCGGGAGGAGCCTCTCCCGGAGGGAGACAGACCGTCCGGTGCCCGGGGCCGGCAGCCGGAGGATCTGGAGATTGATCCGGGACCCGGAGGCCCCGGGGTCGTTCCTCCGCGGCTCCCCGAGCAGCCAGGGGCGAGTCCCCTTTCCCGTCCCTGCCCTGCGCGGCGGCCGGAGCCGGGAGCCGTGCGTGCGAGCGCGCCGCCCGCCAGCCCCGCTGCTCCGACCCGGCTCCTTGTGTTCCCCGCTGGACCCCCCCGGGGCAGGTTCTTTTACCCCCTAGAGCTTATCAGTGTCTCTCCCGAAACAGACACATAAGTTTCACGGGTCTTGTCAAGTTCTTTTGAGAGATCACGAGACTGGGAATTCTTTGAAAACCTGCTGGGTGTTGAATTGTTCAGAAGGCCCTTAAGCCGTACGCTTTCCGTGTCATTTTCGGATCGCCTGCGACAGTCTCGTCCCGGGTCCCTTACTGTGCTCAACCCGAAAGTCCACCTGGCGTTGTGCTGCCTTCCGCACATTCCTTCCCTCCTCCTGCGCCGAGGACGGTTCAAAGATTGGGGCTTGTGAGGCTGTGCAGACAGCCTGCCCTCCGGCCCGAGCGAGCACTGCCTGCAAAGAGGGAATTTCACCCCGGTTAAGCTTAATGCTTTCCTCCCCTCTCTTCCTCCATCTTTTAACTCGGAAGTGGCCACACAGGAGAACACAATTAATTAGTTGATTATCTGAAGAGTCTTTCTAGGAGGGAGGGGGCCTGAAATTCGTGTTGAAACACTGAGTTGGCTGGAAATGGGGAGACATTAGCTTGAGTGAGGAGCTGCGCAGCCTGACCACACCTGTAACCCATAGCCGGTTCTGAGGAAGCCTTTGAGTGCTCCCTTTTCCCAATTAAAAAGACCTACCCGTATAGCAGACTGGGAAAAATGCCCCGTGTCATCCCTCCCCCGCTTTTGCATTAAGGAAGATGAAAACATACTGAGCAGACTGTCTCAGGTACCCAGCCCAGTGCCTATTTGTTGAATGAATGAGTTGAAAGAAATACGTCTTCATGGGTAGAATTCAGTGAGCCAGCTCTGTAATTTTGGAAGCACGTCCCACGACTTCTCTGGATGTTGACCGTGGTTTCTTTTGCCTCTGTGACCTCTTTGGTGTTGCAAAACGAGGACTGGGAATCACTTTGTTTGGGACATGTGATTGGTGGGCATATTTGGTTGGTGGCTCTCCAGTGCCTTGGCATTGGGTATGTGTGTTGGGATGGAGGTGGGGAGGGGCTGTAAATATGTAGGAGTGGAGAAAGGAGGAGGAGAGAAGGGTATGCGGTGCCTGTGTGTGTGTGTGTGCGCGCGCGCGAACGTGCATGCACATGCGTGTGGGTATGTGTGTGTAGTGAACATCTCCCTCTGTAGGGAGATGTTCCCCTCTGTAGGGAGTGTCCCTTCTCTCTTACTGGCTGTAGCAGCTCCCTCTGGGACATGGGGCATGAGGAGGGAGGCTTTGGTGTGGAGAGAGGTAGATGGCAAAGCCAGTTTGGCCACTGGTAGAAAGCTATTTATGTGACTGCATATTCGCTCTTCTGCCAACAGGACACATGCCCGGTGTTCCAGCAGCAGCTAGTGCATCTGGGGGGCCAGCTGTCAGCCTTCCCCTCCAGAATGTAGACTTTCTTGAGTTTACGAATTGGCTCCTTACTCCTTTTGATTCTTGTCCTTTACCATAGGAAACATAATTTATGCTCAAAGAAAATACCTTTTCTCTTTGTGTGTAATTACCTTAAATTCTTTTCCAGAGGAGGATAGAGATACAGCTTTAGCTCACACGCTTGTGGCAAGTTAGGGGGACCTGGCCTTTGCCCAGCTTGCCCCGTACGTAAAGTTGACGTCCAGCTCCTATCAAGACTAAGAGCCCTGGACGTAAGTCAGGACACCTGGGTGTAATTAGCCTTCACTGTTAGAGCCTGGCTACAGGACAATTGGGCAGGTCATTTTTGTGTTCAGTTTTTCTTGTCCTACTTCTCAGAGGCATCAGTAAGATTCTGCAGTGTTTGGAAATGGCGTGATTAGGTCATTTGAAATTGCAGTCTAGGTCAGTCGTTGGCCTAACCAGTTGAGCTTTTCTATAACATCTGAGAAAAGCTCAAGAGCTCGAGGCAGGACCTGAGACCAAGGGGGAGCTACAGAAAGGAACAATCAGCTAGGTCAGACTGATTATATTTTCAGATGTTTTGCGCTTTGTTTTGCAAAAACGGCGTTTTGCGCATTTTCAGAATTGCGTGGTTAAGTGATTTCTGCTTTTAATTGCCCTGTAAGATGCCTCCTCCATGCGCTAAATACATGTTGGATTTATATAACTTTGATGTCTTGATGCTTTAGTTTTTTTTTAAATTTCTTAGTCGTTGGGGAATGCGTAATCTCTGAAAATTATGAAAACATCCCTGCTACATTTCTAAATACACAACTGACGACCATATTGTTACTTCCGTGTAGAATGTCTTGATGCTTTGACTAATCCGCAGATATTTAAAGAAGTTGGAGGTGACTTCTGTGGGACCTGAAAGTTTATTGCTGAGTTCAATTATGTAGCGATCAGCAAATATTTAGCATCTACAGTTTGTTAAATATTGGGCTTGAGACACAAAGAGGAAAGAAGTTAGAGGCCCTTGTCCTTGAGGTTATTGTCCTATAGTTGAATTCAGTTCAATCTAGGAACATGTTTGAACTGCTGCATGCATTGTGCTAAGTTCTTGAAGAAGTGAAGGATACACAGACACACGTATTAAAAGATTCAGAAGATTCAGTGGCAAGGTTTCTAACTTTGACAGAAACAAGAGTATGTTGTAGGTTAGAGTGGAAGTTTGGGGACTCATTGGTGTTTTAAGGAAGGGATAGAACCTTGTAGAACCCTGTCAGATTGGAAACAGCTGAGAAGAAACCAGCGGGCCCCCCGCCCTCCCGCCACCGTGTCTGAAGAGGATGAGAAGACCAGTTTGGCTGGAATGGTGATGATTTCATTTGGGGGAGTAGAATGAGATTCATGGAAAGGTCAGTTTCAGATTGTGGAAGCCATAAAAGTGGGCTTGGAATGTGGGCTTTATCCTGTGGAGAATCACTGACATAATGGGAAAGAGATGGTTTAGAGGCTGTGTATGGTATCTGTCTGTGTGTCAGGTGATTTTTGGAGATAGCAGTGGGGCTGGGGAGGGGCTGCGGAGCGCAGAGTCTGGGACCACTGATTTATGTGGTGGATTTGGAGATCATTCACTCAGTTCAGTGGAGTCTTTGTTTAAATGGTTTTATTAGCCCTTTTTCTTTTTTCACTCCTTTCCTAGAATAATCAGTGTCTTCTTTCAATACAGTTTAAACTTTTGTGAGCCTTTCATAGGATGTCTATGTAGTTGCAGATGCTTATGATTCGTAGAAATGCATAGTCTGTTTACCAGAAACAGCAATAAGCTATATATACTTTTCTCATACATTTTACAATTAGGTGTTCTTTTTCTTTTTTAATTTATTTAATTTATTTTAATTTTTGGCTGCGTTGAGTCTTCGTTGCTGCACGTGGGCTTTCTCTAGTTGCAGAGAGTGGGGGCTACTCTTCATTGCAGTGCTTGGGCTTCATTGCGGTGGCTTCTTTTGTTGCAGAGCACGGGCTCTAGGCGCATGAGCTTCAGTAGTTGTGGCCCGTGGGCTCTAGAGCTGGCGGCTCAGTAGTTGTGGCTTAGTTGCTCTGCGGCATGTGGGATCTTCCTGGACCAGGGCTCGAACCCGTGTCCCCTGCATTGGCAGGCAGATTCTTAACCATTGCGCCACCAGGGAAGTCCCAATTAGGCATTCTTGAAAGAATATGTTCTGTTCTAGAGAAGGAGAAGGATGTTAGTGGTGGCCAGGACCAGAACTTGAGTCTTTCAAGTCTTGGTACTTCTTTAGGCCTTGATGTTTAATGATTTTTGCCTTGTTTTTCTCAGGACAACATAAAAGTTCCCTTTTGCTGTCTTTGTATTTATTGTTCCAGAAACATGGTTCACGTGGTAATTCCTTTTGGAAAAATTTCCCAGGTTGCTCTTGCATGGAAACATAGGGAGATTCGGAAGACTTAAAAGAATTTCACTTTGTAAACTTCAGCCTTGGTCTCCTTATCTGTGAAATGGAACTGTTGCATATAGCCTTGAGGATTGAACCACATGTGCCAAAGTGTTTTTATTTTTATTTTTTTTGTGGTACGCGGGCCTCTCACTGTTGTGGCCTCTCCTGTTGCGGAGCACAGGCTCCAGACGCACAGGCTCAGCGGCCATGGCTCACGGGCCCAGCCGCTCCGCGGCATGTGGGATCTTCCAAGACCGTGTCACGAACCTGTGTCCCCTGCATCGGCAGGCGGACTCTCAACCACTGCGCCACCAGGGAAGCCCCCAAAATGTTTTTAAAACACCAGTGTGAAGCGGTTGTGTAGGCTTTATTGTTTGCCCAGCTAATATTTTTTTCTGACAATCCAAATTTTGTTCAGGTGTCTACACTCTTTCCCAAGTGACTCATGGAAAGGTGATTAGGTATAATTCTGATTAGTCTGACTCAGTCGTTCTCAGTCCTGAGCATGGCTGACCGTTAGAATCACCTGGGGAGCTGTAAAAACCACGCAGTTGGGATTGAGAAACACTGAACTCTAACAACTCAGCAGGGTAAACCTATTTTCTGGGCTGGTAATTGGATAAATGAGGATGTATCTCAGTTCTGACCAGTGAGACATGATAGGAAGTCTGCTGGAGACTTTGGGAAAGGTTTTCTTTTGTGTGAGAGGAGACTTGTAAAAAGGGTTCTAGACTCTTCTGTGATGTCTGGTTGTGTTGCCTGGAGCTGCTCCTGCCATCTTGGGACGGTGAGTGGAGCTCAAGGTAAGGACCATTGGAGCAGAGAGGTAACTGAATCTGGGTTTTCGATGTGGTCATGGAAGCCACAGATGGTTCTGTGCCTGAAGCCT